GGGGGGGGGTCATTGGGGTGGTCACCCAGGGTCAAAAAGTTGGTGTCTAGGTCTTTTGTGTTTGTCGGTCACGTCGGGTACGTAGTCAACGGCTTGCCTGAGGAGGGGATTGTCATGTCTACCCCCTTCCCGACCTCAGATCGCTCGTAAATTATTTTTCTTTTCATTTCTGTTATATTCTCTTCTTTTTCCAATGGGTTTCATCTTACTATATTTTTTTTTTCACTTTTTACTATTTTTGAAGGCTTAAACTGGTCTATTTATGACATTTTACAATGTATAGGATAAGTAATAGTCATAGAAAATATAGTATTAAGTTTTCTATGGTAACAGTATAGATGCACAGTGCTCAATTCGTAGTTCTAGCTCCACTCGGATCAGAGTACTCGAAAATGTAAATGCGGCTGAGTCAGACGGGTGGAAACACGCATTTACTTTCAAACAATGAATTTTGGACCTTTTATTTCCGCAATGCGCAATCGTCTAACTGTTGGAAACTGTTTTGGATTGTTTCTAGGAACAAAGCTATTCCGCGATAATTTTTAAGATGCAAGCGCACCAAGCGGCGAAAGCAGTAAGCTGCGAAACAAGGTAATTTTGACATTGCCGTTCGCGTTTATACATTCATTTGAACAACATTTGTCTTATTTGCCATTATTATTAGTAATTTTGTTATCAAACTGCGGTTATTTCACTTTTGTATTATTTTATAGGTTTCAAATATTTCATAATTAAATTTTAAGGCAAGTATTTATAAGTAAGACAAGTATTTATGTCTAAGTATACTTTATATTGACTCTAGCATTACAATGTAATGTACATTTTATTAAGTTATAACTATGAACTTATCCGTTGTGGAATACATTTCCTATTTACATATATGCTAACGAAAACTCTCGTTATATATTAGNTTTAATAAAAGTAAACAATAATTCTTAAAATGTGGGGTTAGAATAACAGCAAACGCATGTTTTACAAACGCTTTTTTTTAGTTATTATTTTATTTGAGTAAATTTAAATGGTAACAATGAATAAACAAAACATCAAGGATTTTATTTTTGTGCTTACTTTTGTTCTACACGTTTTATTTTCAAAGATTTCAGTACCTAAAAACGCCAGAAATTTCACTATTTCTCGGCCGGGAATATGGCCACCTTAAGAAAAGGAACAGCTAACTAAGTTCAGGTTATTATTATTATTGTTTGACCTTTGAATTTGACGATCAACAGCAAACTGTAAAATTAAATGTTAACTATCACTATTTCTTCTTTAACTTTTATATTTATTTTGAAACAAAATATTCAAAAAATGAGCTACATTACATTAAATAATAGGAATAAGGGTAGATTTGTCTTACTACCTTCACTGGGTGTATTCATTTGAATTAAAAGAACCCTAATACACATAGACAACTGACTTTCGCTTCATATTTCAAAACAATGAAAATAACATTAAAAATATCCCGACAAACGACAATAAAGCGGTTCGCGTTTTCTCATCTCGCGATGTGTTCAGTTTTTCGCTTTGTTGGAATTCTTTGCGAAGACCTCGTTTAATAACGTCGCATGCCGTACACGCTAGGTCGCCTTTTATTAAAGAAACCAAAGGGTTGGAATTTAATTTTCAGGTTACGCAAGGGTGGCTCTGAGGGGTAGCTTCGAAACCGTAAAATCCTATGGTTTTGAATTGCAAATTGGTTCGTAAGCGATGGAATACTGATTGCATATTAAATAAACGGAATAATTCACGTTGAAATGTTCTTGCGAGTTATATGAAATAAAAATTTCTTCTTCCAGTAGAATAAAAACACTAATTAATAGTAGATCTAAAAGTTGTTTTACACACAACAATTTATTGAACAATGAATTGACAATTCATTTTTCAACAAATTAATTACTTTCAACAAAATAATTTTTTCTTCTTTGACAACCGCAACCGACAAATCTTTGTCATTTTCACTTAGGTTATGGATGGTTTACGTTTACATTTTGTACAGCATAAACTCAAATCATCATAACTGGGTTGGCATTTAGGAAAAACATACAAAATGTAACTAGTTATCCCTAAAATTGATCAACAGATATGTCCCCAATTTCTTGGTCAATTTATTGAAATCAATAAATTGGACTCCAATTTTTGTTTTACACTTAAATTGAAGGATAACTTGTTCGATTTATTGTTTAATAAATTGTGTGTGAAACAGCTTTAAATCTGATACGATTTTATTTTGAAAAGATAAACTGACGCACCTTCTGGTAACTATCAACTGTTAGCAACTGGTTATGTTGAAATTCAAAGGGCAAATATTATACCAAAATTTGTGGGTATTTTACTGTTCGCAACTACAAAATCACTACACTTAGTGGTGGCAGGTTAGAGAAGTGGGAATTTTGTCAAGATCGTTCATCTATTTCTTCTTGAAACATTTATAAAGCATGCGCATCAGTATATGTCTTATCTTTCTATTCCTGAATCTATTAGAATTACTCCTAATTTCAGATAGCGGGGGTAGCTCTAAACGGAATAGCAAGAAAAGGCGACATAGAACGGTCTTTGGAAGAGATGAAGTCCATCGACAACGTAGCGTATCAACGAATATTCGGCCTACTGAACACCGTCAACAAGGAAATAGACCTCTTCGGGAAATACGGCGTAGACAAAATATTTGAATTGCGAATACTGTCCGTCGATTCCAAGTACAGGGGGAAAGGAGTCGCTAAAGAGTTGTTCTCCAGGAGTGAGCTGATTGCAGAGGAATACGGCTTCGAGGTAAATCATATGCCATGATATGTAAACTAATATAAATTAATAAAAAATTTGTTTCTAGCTCATGAAGGTGGATGCCACGAGTCTCTTCACGCAGAAAATCTCCGAAAGCTTCGGCTTCAAGGTGGAGAAAGGCGTCAAATATGGAGACTACAAAGATGCGGACGGCAAGAAGATCTACGACACCAAATCGCCCCATGATTATTACAAAGTTATGATCAAGCAGCTGCCGAGCAAACCAAGCAACGGCTGAGAGAGGGTGCCGCAGACGATTTGTTGTTTTAGTTTTTATCACTTTTGTTACAACTTCTTCAAGCACTGAGCTCTCCGATTCCGATATGCCTAGTGGTTGGATGTGTTTACCTCTAGAAGGAGCAGAGCTCCTGACGACTGTCAAAATGTTAATACTGCCACTGCCATGCAGTTTTATACATTTCATGTAGATGTTGTTCCGTTAAACGCCGAGCGTTCCTTCTCCTGACTTTCTGGTGGTGTACATGCCGTAGCTGAAGGCAATCTTTATACGGGCTAATTGTGATACGACTGTGAACTAAGAATACATTTTTATTTGTAAAACCTAGCTGGTTTTTGCTTTGATTTAAATCACTCATCTCCCAAACAAGTTATTCACAAATTTCGCTGTTCGTTTTCCTAATAACGCATCGCGAATAGAACTCACTCTATTCGACAGCGAGGAAAAATATCCCGGCGTAATCAACTCGAAAGTCGGCATATTGTGCGGATTTAATTCGCGCCTCATATTTTTCCGCTTATCAAATGAATTCACCGGGTAATGAGAGCCAATATTAAAACGGTTCTAACGGGATTTTAATGAATTTCCCAGAGAGCGCGTGGCATCCTTGACCGTATCCTAGGCAACGGGTGATTTTCCCCGTCTAGCACTCTAGATGTGGACGACCCATTTATCTCGAATTCTATGACAGGTGCCGAAACAGCAGGAATGTGCTGATGTGCATCGCGGATTGACGGGAATGCGATAAAGGGCAGTGCGGAAAATTTATTGGATGCCGGCCCAGAGGCGTACCGACGTGGGGGGATTTACGGGTTAAGAGTTTCGCAGGACAGAGCCGCAATTAGATAAAAGTTGAATTATGGAATTGCCAGATATTACATTCCATTTTTAACCAATAACAAAATTGTGCGAAGTGACAGTTAATTGAATTAATTTATTGTTAATTTATACAGGGTGTAACTTTGAGCCAGCGATGATGAACATTCGGATTCGCAGTTAAATGTACTGTTTCCAAATGCGGAAAAACAACGCTTCATCACCGTCGATCCGCACTATCTCCCTTTTAGATGCACTGTAGGTTGCCTACAATTCATGTATCTGTAATGTAGTTTTGTATGTTCAAATTTTTGGAACTAAACTAAGAAAGTCTTAAAATTTTATAAGTTTTATACTTAATATGCTATCAGATGTTTATAACACCTATTTAAAGTAATAAAACATTTTAGGCAGTGATGAAAATGTCAGAACAGAAAAGGAGTAGGTATAAATTTTACTTTAGAAGAAATTATTGTGTTTTGAAAACTTATAGTAAAATAGTACGATATTTTATACGGAAAAGTTACACAAAAAAAATACATTGCAAAGGAAAAAAGCTGCGTAGCAAACAGTACATGCTGCAGTTAATACAGTAAGTGCAGTCGCACGACATTTGGCACAATTGAAAAAAAAATTAAAAACCTAAAAAAAAGAAACAAGAAAAACATGTAAGCAATTTGTAAGTAAGTATCTATCATCAAACTGCTACAACTAATTTTTTTATAGTATTAAAACATATGGTGAACGTGAAGCCACTGGTGGAGGGTGCAGGATCCGAGTCAAGATTATACATTCTTAGTAAACGCTAATATCTGCAATAAAAATCATTTAATAAAGTAGTATAATAATATCTCTACTCCTCATTCAAACTACGAGAATTAGCCCAGAAGTCGGAGACTTGTGCGGGAGAGGAGGCGGCATATTATTATTACGCAGGCCGCATTTGCGCCCAGGAACGACTTATGTTGGTAGGCCCTAACCACCATTAGTCGTTCCTGGGCGCAAATACGGCCTGCGTAATAATAATATGCCGCCTCCTCTCCCGCACAAGTCTCCGACTTCTGGGCTAATTCTCGTA